GGGCCAGATACATTTATTTTAAAAATTCATTACTGTGTGGATTCGAACCAAGACTTCCAGGTTACTGGCGAGCTTCTAGCAGTTACGCCACCGCGGCCACCCTCGCTATTAGTTAGATTAGACAGATTATCCTCACTGAACATCGAACCATTTCATCCTTAAGTGATCAGATCCCCTTCTCAGTAAATCCCGCAGCGTGAAGCGGCTGACGACACCAGCTCTGCGTTTGGTTCTTAATCTGTTTTGGCTTCCTGTATAGTGCTCTTGTCTGGCCACATCCAATGTAACCTGCTGTTCTTGCAGTCTGGTCATGGTTGCAGAATCAGTCATCTGGTTCTCACAAACGTCTTACTCTCGTCCAACCTCCACAGTAGCCCTACCTGCACGCCTATCGGCTCGCTCATTTCCTTGTACACATGCATACCGTGGCAAGAAAATAAAACCTATCTTTGTCAGACTCAAAGAATTGTATCCAGGAAACAGAATTCAACAGTGGCTGTTATGACGACAGAGGGTAAGAATGTTCTCGATTCTGTCAAACTCGACAAGAAGGTACAGCAACTAAAACTGTATATACAAAGAGTTCTTCATTGCTCCAGATGTCAAAAAGGACTCCACACCAAATCCGTATCTCGTAACAAATCAGACATTTGTAGACACTGTGCTGCTTCTCACCCATAAAGATAATGTCATCTACCAAAGCAAGATACGGACTACAGAAAACCAAACACTAACAGACGATACGCCAATTGTTTCGGACAACACGGAGCTTGATATTTTGAATGCACATACTTGCAGCATTGACAAAAAATTGTGAAAATAGCAATCATGAAAATTATTTAGTGGAAAGAAGCAAGGAGGAGATGAAGAGAACCAGAAAAATCTAAAATACTGAACCAAATAAGAAAGTTAGAAAAAGTAAAGACTCTGAAAGCGAACAAGACAACTCAAGAGGAAAGCTCAATAGGAGTCAACGAGGAAGGAAGACCGATACTCACAGAGTTGAAGGAGATGCGGAAGACACTGGATCACGATATTAAGACACTCAATGAAATAAAAGCAGAAACAATTGCAGCATTACAGGAATTAAAGAGACAGCAAGATAAAAGGGAAGAAGGAAGTCGACCCAGACAAACAGCCAAAGAAACTAGTAGAAAGACAACAAAAGAAAGCCCACAGAAACTAGTGGAAAGACAACAGAAGAAAGCCCAGAGAAACTAGTGGAAAGACAACAGAAGAAAGCCCACAGAAACTAGTGGAAAGACAACAAAAGAAAGCCCACAGAAACTAGTGGAAAGACAACAGAAGAAAGCCCACTGAAACTAGTGGAAAGACAACAGAAGAAAGCCTACAGAAACTAGTAGAAAGACAACAGAAGAAAGCCCACAGAAACTAGTGGAAAGACAACAGAAGAAAGCCCACAGAAACTAGTGGAAAGACAACAGAAGAAAGCCCACAGAAACTAGTGGAAAGACAACAGAAGAAAGCCTACAGAAACTAGTCGAAAGACAACAAAAGAAAGCCTACAGAAACTAGTGGAAAGACAACAGAAGAAAGCCTACAGAAACTAGTGGAAAGACAACAGAAGAAAGCCCACAGAAACTAGTGGAAAGACAATAGAAAAAAGCCCACAGAAACTAGTGGAAAGATAGAAGAAAGCCCAAAGAAACTAGTGGAAAGACAATAGAAGAAAGCCTACAGAAACTTGCGGAAAGACAACAGAAGAAAACCCACAGAAACTAGTGGAAAGACAACAGAAGAAAGCGTACAGAAACTAGTAGAAAGACAACAGAAGAAAGCCCACAGAAAGTAGTGGAAAGACAATAGAAAAAAGGCCACAGAAACTAGTTGAAAGACAACAGAAGAAAGCCCACAGAAACTAGTGGCAAGACAACAGAAGAAAGCCCACAGAAACTTGTGGAAAGACAACAGAAGAAAGCTCACAGAAACTAGTGGAAAGACAACAGAAGAAAGCCCACAGAAACTAGTGGAAAGACAACAGAAGAAAGCCTACAGAAACTAATGGAAAGACAAGAGAAGAAAGCTCGCAGAAACTAATGGAAAGACAACAGAAGAAAGCCCTCAGAAACTAATGGAAAGACAACAGAAAAAAGCCCACAGAAACTAGTGGAAAGACAACATAAGAAAGCTTACAGAAACTAGTCGAAAGACAACAAAAGAAAGCCCACAGAAACTAGTGGAGAGACAACAGAAGAAAGCCCACAGGAACTAGTGGAAAGACAACAGAAAAAAGCCCACAAAAACTAATGGAAAGACAACAGAAGAAAGCCCACAGAAACTAGTGGAAAGACCACGGAAGAAAGCCTACAGAAACATCGCCAAAAGAGTCCACAAGCAAACGGTACGAATTTGAAGAAAGGTTCAATGAAGAAATTAACAGCTTATTTCCTTCAAATAGTTTCAAGACGAACAAAGAGCGAAAAGCGCAGGTTCAGTACGGAAAGAGGTTGAGAGAAGAGATGAGGAGAGAGAGGGAGACCGAGAGAAAACAGCATTGGAAACAAACCAACAAAGTCCCAAACGCCAAGCAATAAACAAGACACTACACAGATGACAGAAACAGAAATAACAGAATGGATAGAAAGTCAAAACCTTATAAAAGTCCTTGTAAGAACTAATCACTAAGTACCAAGATGATAGTTTGAGGTTTAAACAACGAATCAACATCATGGCACACCCGTAGTAACCCATAAGGGGTCCATTCTTCTTCTAACTCAAGTCTGAGTCCGAAGACGCTCAGCACAGTGCACGGGCACTGTGACACCAGCGAGGATCCTGAAATATTTTGGGTAGACTTTAAACTCAAAATGTTGCCCTTGCAGCGCCGTTAGGCTACTCTTTTCGATTTCTAACTGCTATGGAATTTTTTTTACAAGCGCAACAATGCAAAGTGGCGTCCAGTCTCACTACCCAGAGACAAGGGGGAATTACTAGGTCCAATACCACGTGAAAAAATCTCAGCTCTTATCGGTGATTGAACGCGGAACCTCTAGCACTCGAGGCGGACACTACACCTCGAGACCACGCAGCACCCGAGATTATATCAAATGGAGGTAAAATGACAGCAGGGACAACAGAAGAGGGAATCAACCAGTCAAAATCCTGACAATAGCGACGACAGGACGCAGCTAAAAGAAAACAGCAGAAACAATTTCCACCAGGTGTGTCCTGACATTGTCGGGAACGACACCAAAATACAATAAGAAAGTACAGCTGATACGTACCACCTTAGAAACCAACACTGGAACATGCTACAAGAGTATTATAGAACGAAAAACTACATCAGTTATATCGTCCGATGACAACAAGGCCCAGTGGAACCACTGGAAACATTATCTGAACAAGTTTTACACAACAGAGATCACAAATATAATCAGTTGCCCTAAGGAACTGAAACGGTTGAACGCGATCCAATTATTTCCGTTTGTTTTGCAAATGGATAAAAAGATCAGGTCCAACTTCCCCAAAGACAGTAAGCAGTGTCTTCGGACCTAACCCAAATCTATCGTCCTGAGCCTACTCATCCAGTCACTGAGAAAATATGCTCGGGTGGAAGTTCGTACCTCTAGACAAGTTACTGCTTAAATCACTACTATGACCTCCATAGTCAGACTACATGTAGTCAAGATAAAAGCACACGCTACACTTGTGAAAAAGGGAAACAGTATCACAGTTGTACTTACAATAGGCATTCCTAAAGTCCAGAAAAGGGAAACAGTATCATAGTTGTACTTACAACAGGCATTCCCAAAGTCCAGATAAAGGGAAACAGTATCATAGTTGTACTTACAACAAGCAATCCCAAAGTCCAGCTGACCCGTGCTGCTGTATACAAGCCTCTCGTTCCCGTAAGGCAGACTCCTCCAAAGATGACATGTTTGTTAGGTGGACGTTCAGTGGCGTGTGGCTGTTTTCTTCATTAAGATTCATGGTTTCAGTACCATTCCTTGTTTTAGTAGCCGATGTAGCTTTAGTAGCACTGGTAGTTTCAGTAGCTCTTGTAGTTTCTTCAGCACTCGTAGTTTCAGCAGCACTCGTAGTTTCTGCAGCACTTGTAGTTTTTTCAGCACTTGTAGTTTCTTCAGCACTCATAGTTTCTGCAGCACTTGTAGTTTCTGCAACACTTGTAGTTTCTTCAGCACATGTAGTTTCTTCAGCACTCGTAGTTTCAGCAGCACTCGTAGTTTCTGCAGCACTTGTAGTTTCTTCAACACTTGTAGTTTTTTCAGCACTTGTAGTTTCAGCAGCACTCGTATTTTGAGAAGCTTTCGTAGCTCCAGTATTGCTCGTAACTTTAGTCGTTTTCTTAGTTTCAGTAGCACTGGTAGCTTTAGTAGCACTCCCAGCTTTAGTTGTACTCGTAGTTTTGGCAGCACTCGTAGCTCTAGTAGTACTGCTAGTAGCTTTTGTAGTATTGGTAGCTTTAGAAGCACTGGTAGCTTTAGTAGCACTCCCAGCTTTAGTAGCTCTGGTAGCTTTAGTTGGACTGATAGCTTTAGTTGCACTGGTAGCTTTAGTTGCACTGGTAGCTTTAGTTGCACTGGTAGCTTTAGTTGCACTGGTAGCTTTAGTTGCACTGGTAGCTTTAGTTGGACTGGTAGCTTTAGTTGCACTGGTAGCTTTAGTTGCACTGGTAGCTTTAGTAGCTCTGGTAGCTTTAGTTGCACTGGTAGCTTTAGTTGCACTGGTAGCTTTAGTTGCACTGGTAGCTTTAGTTGCACTGGTAGCTTTAGTTGGACTGGTAGCTTTAGTTGCACTGGTAGCTTTAGTTGGACTGGTAGCTTTAGTTGGACTGGTAGCTTTAGTTGGACTGGTAGCTTTAGTTGGACTGGTAGCTTTAGTTGGATTGGTAGCTTTAGTTGCACTGGGACTGGTAGCTTTAGTTGGACTGGTAGCTTTAGTTGCACTGGTAGCTTTAGTTGGACTGGTAGCTTTAGTTGGACTGGTAGCTTTATTAACACTGGTAGTTTCAGGTGCACTCGTAGCTTCAGTGATACCAGAATCAGTCGTGACTATCGGAATGAATGTAGGACTTGATGATTTCCGAGGCGTTTGTTGTCTGCTTTTGGCTGTGGTAGCATTGCTTGTTGCTGAGTCTTCATTCTTGCTGACACACCGACCTGCCACACACCACTGAGAGACAGAGAGGACCCTGTTACAAGCTGCATAGAAGTCAATGTCAGTTTGGACAAGGAAAAATTGCGAGTGCTTAAAGTTGTGTTTATGATGCAGAATAGGCAGAAGATCATTAGAGACAGACACAAGTTTCCCGACTCACTATTATTCATCCCTCTTTTGCATATTATTTTCGCTATCATCGACATCTTCTTCATCTTCTTCTTCTTCTCTTCTTCTTCTTCTTCTTTCTTCTTCTTCTTCTTCTTCTTCTTCTTCTTCTTCTTCTTCTTCTTCTTCTTTTTTTTTTTTTTTTACTTCTTCTTCTTTTACTTCTTCTTCTTCTTCTTCTTCTTCTTCTTCTTCTTTTTCTTCTTCTTCTTCTTCTTCTTCTTCTTCTTCTTCTTCTTCTTCTTCTTCTTCTTCTTCTTCTTCTTCTTCTTCTTCTTCTTCTTCGTCTTCTTCGTCTTCTTCCTCTTCTTCTTCTTCTTCTTCTTCTTCTTCTTCTTCTTCTTCTTCTTCTTCTTCTTCTTCTTCTTCTTCTTCTTCTTCTTCTTCTTTTCTTCTTCTGAAATCGAAAAATATGAAAATCTAATGACAGCTAGCACAGGTGATGAGAAAGCTGCAAGATAAACTTAGGCATTGCTTTATTGTAGACCCTCTGGTTATCCAAGAGATCGCATGAGGTTACAGATCATAATCATCTACCTTAATTCGGCTTTTGGCACATTACAATGATAGCGTGTTCCCATATGGTAAAAATACACACAGGTTAAAACTGAACTTTAAGTTAGTTGCGTATCCTTTTACCGGACGTTGCAGAACCAACCCCAGTATTTATTGGCTGTTGTGATTTTTCTAGGAAAGTTTTACATTCAGTAGTTTGCCATTTCCCTGAACGGTCAGCTCTCAGTACCACTGTCGAAACCAGCGCAAGACAAATAGTCTGCAGTAGGGATCGAACCGGGCACCCTGGCTTTACGAAGCGCGTTCGCAACGCCTTAGCCACATACAACGACAAAAGTGAACGAAGAGGTTTAAAAAATTACCTTATTGGTGTCGCAGGAAGTAAACTCTTGTGGGAGGGTACTTTGACAAGTGTTCTCCTTGTCGGGAACCTTGCAGTACATGCCCCCACACACACGGCTCATGCCACCGTTTAATTCTTGCATCGACTGACACAAAAAAAAAAAAACAGATTTGTATTAACATAAACTTTTTTTCTCTCCAGACGATAATCGGCAGCTTGTTTATTCATTGCTCAGTACTGTTTTTTTTTTTTTTTTACGACGATCACATGGTCATTTTTAAAGCAGCTGCGATTGGTTGAGCACGAACAGCCTTCTATGTGAAATTGTTGGGAGCGGAACTAGAGAAGCGACCAGCAACTGACATTTTTCAGGAAGTCTTTTGACCAGCCTAAAATCTTCGTTTCGAATCTGCACTGGGATAGATTGTTTCCCTTCAGAACTGACCTTGAAGTAGCATAATGTTCTGAAAACAGGGAGCTGTGGTGGAATAATTGTATAATTCCTAAGAGGTATGAATGAGAAAGTGCCTAATTCCAGTGTGTATGGTAGAATGAAGGTCTACTTCCAGTGTGTATGGTAGAATGAAGGTCTACTTCCAGTGTGTATGGTAGAATGAAGGTCTACTTCCAGTGTGTATGGTAGAATGAAGGTCTACTTCCAGTGAGCAGAAGTAGAATAATGATTGTCTGTCGCCCCGAATACCCTTGGTTCGAATCCCATTAGGTCAGATCTTTATAGCTGACCTGAGGCTGGTCCAGGCTTGATGGAATGTCCGGCATCGTGTTCTACACATGGCCCATAGACTGCTGATTGGTCGGGGACACACAGACACACACACACACACAGACACACACAGACACACACACACACAGACACACACAGACACACACACACAGACACACACAAAGACACACACAAAGACACACACACAGACACACACACAGTCACACAGACACACGCACACAGACACACAGACACACGCACACAGACACACACACACACAGACACACACACAAAGACACACACACAGACACACACACACAGACACACACACAGACACACACAGACACACACAGAGACACACACACAGACACACACACAGACACACACAGACACACACCGACACACACACACAGACACACACACCCACAAATACTGCAAAATGAGCTGCCTGCCTCTCATAGTGCCAGTCGGCAATGACTGCCTTTGCACAACACTACCCTTCCCCCAACACACACACACACACACAGACATACACACACAGACACAAACACACACAGACACACCCACACACACACAGACATGCACACACAGACACAGACACACACAGACACACACAGACATACACACACAGACACAAACACACACAGACACACACACACACACACACAGACACAGACACACACACACACACACACACACCTGGCAAATGAGTGTCGATCGACACGAACTGAACGTGCTGATAAAATGCATACATACATACATACTTTTGTTGTTGTTTACTTTGTGGAGATTTCAACCTCACTGTAATCGGGTCACTCCATACTTGCTCCGTTCCTGTGACCGTGAAAATTAAGTGAAGTGTTCCTCCCTGTCCCATTTGAAGAACTCGTCAACAAACAATTAGTGCCGGGACAATTCAGAAATATGCGTATGCAGTGAATGCATATGTCAGTTGCTAGAGGCGCCAAAGCCAACAGTCGCCGCCAGAAATGCAGTTTGTTGTTTATGGGAGTATTCGGTCACAATAAGTTGGCTATAAGTAAAGGACCCTTTTCCACGCCTTTCAGGCCTATTGGGTATTTATGGCTAGACCTATATTTTATATACCAAACGGCACTTAGTGGATGAAGTGGTTAGCATCAAGCCGGCCATCTTTACTTCCCAGGACTGTACCTGCTACCCACTCAAAGTTGGGTCAACCTGGTAGCCAAGGTCATTTTGAGGAAAAATTCAGCACGGCAGGAACCAAACCCATGACATTCCGATCTGCAGCCAAGCGTCTTGCAGCTAGACCACGTCGACTTAGGCTTTGCACACGTACAATTATTACATAAGGAATATCACCACCCGAAAGGTAAACCGGCTACCTGCCATATTGAATACCTCGACTCAACCGCTGCAAAAATGGAAGGCATTCCATACGAATAACCCAGCTCACACAGCAGCATCTATTGCTAAACTCTGTAGTTTAGGCAGCGAAACCGTAGACTTCCTTCCGTATGAGGAAACTGCATTAGCAAAGCGCTGTCTAGCAAAAATAACTTCGATGCTTTGCCTAGTTCTCTAAATTGGGCCGGAAGTACACACTTACACACACCTGGCAGAATGAGCTGCGGGCATCACGTTGTGCTAGGCGACATTGACTGTCCTTGCTCAACAACTCCCCTGACCTTTGACCGTCAGGCGGCGCTGGTAGGACATTCTTGGACCGTGTGCACGTGACTCTGAAATGTACAGGACACATTTGCTTACCGTCTGACTCAAATTTGAAGTGTAAAAAAAAAGGGGGGGGGGTGGAAAGGGGGGGGGGGGGGGTGGATGTTTGAGAGTGTATGTCTGTGTGTTTATGTGGGTATTTGTGGGCATATGTGAATAAAGGTTTATGTATTTGTGTGTGGTGGGGTTGAGAGTTTTGTGAGTGTGCCTTTAGTTGTTTGTGTGCGCATGTGTGTGTGTGAGTGGGTCTTTGCGTGTGTGTGTTTGTGTGGGTGAGGGTTTACGTGTTGTTCAAGGTATGTGTGTGTGGAGGTAACAGTTTGTGTATATTTGTGTTTGTGTATGTATATGTTTGCAGACGAGGTTTCGTGTGTGTTGTATATGAGTGTGTGTGGTCTGTATGTAGGTATGTATGTGTGTGTGTCTGTAAATGTGTAAGCTAGAGATTTACCTACAGTGAATGCATTATTGGGTGGCCGTACTTGTATCCAGAGGCGCTGATTTCAAAGAAAAAGTTGCTGAGGAGGTTTGCCCGTGAGGGACAGGCAGCCCCTCTCTAAAATTATTTGTGTGTGTGGGGGGGGGGGGCGCTAATTTTCTTGGGCCCCCCACCACTCGCCTTTTCCTTCTAAAGTTTCTGGACACTGGTCATAAGACGTGTGGGTGTGTATGTGTGTACGCATGTGTAAACAAAAACTTGAAAAGGGAACGTCTATATATGGTAAGCCAAATAATAAATAAGGAAAGAAAAGCGGAGAGCGCCTTAAAATCCCTAATGGCATATTTTCCAGCGCTCCAGCCAGCGACGCAAGTGAGCAGTGTAATGACAGCAGACACGTGACCAGTGTTGCCTTTTTAGCTGTTTTACATCCAGATTTAGATTTTCCCCTTGCATTTAGATGGCCTTTTTGACGTTTAGATGGTAGATGTTTTACTAGATATTTTTCATTTTGAGTAAATTTATCAAATCTAACCTAAAAAACAGCATGAAATTTGACCTCTTAAATGCTATCTTGACAATAAAATTTGGCCTGATAAGAGTAGGAAAAGGCTGCTCCACTTATCAGCTCCCTGACTGGGTATTGAAAGAAATTGGAACAGCTAAAGCGTACCAGAGTCATTTTGGATCTGAAGTTTCAATTTCATCATCCAAGCTAAGTTTATCCTGTGGATCTTGTAAGGCAGACTTGAGTAAAGATGAGGACATGGTTCTATAGGGTAAGTCATATCAATTGCTATGTAATTTGTGACTCTTTCCATTTGGATGTTTTTTTTTCTAGATGTTTTCCACGCAAATTGAGACGTTTTTAGATTTTTTTGACTCCGTTTTGGATGTTTTGATCAAAGAAAAGTGGCAACACTGCACGTGACCACTGAGGCCGGTAAGGTGGCTGCCATTCTGAAGCGTGCCAGGTGCTACTAAGAGGCTCTTGCTTGAAACTTGCAGATAGGCAATGTGAAAATGACGTAGTGGTGGATTGAGTGGATCATGAAGATGAATACTAACGCGGAACAACGTTATTCAATGATGATCATTGAGCCAAGTCTAGGAGTAAAACGTATGATCTTCGACAATGACCGACCGAAAGGTTTTCTAAGCCAAGTGAACGGACGGCAGGTTTTCTATGCAAAGTAAACGGACGGAAGGTTTTCTATGCTAAGTGAACGGACGGAAGGTTTTCTAAGCCAAGTGAACGGACGGAAGGTTTTCTAAGCCAAGTGAATAGACGGCAGGTTCTCTAAGCGAAGTGAACGCAACCAAGAGGTTTTGAAAGAGGCGGGAGCCCGAAGACAACTTATCATAGACATCAGAAGGAGACAGTCATCATTTTTCGGCCATGTTATGGGAAGAGGTAAAATAGAACATGTAGGGACCACTGGAAAGATGTGTGGAATGAGGGATAGAGGAAGACAACGAGAGAAGATGCTTGACAGTTTTGTTGCATGGCATGGATGTGTGGTGGCACACAAACTAATACATGCTGCAGGAAATCGCAGATTATGGAGAGGCATGATCGCCAATGCCAGTCGGAAAGGCACCCGATGATGATAAACGGATGAAAAGCCTTTAAAAGCCTATGGTTAAGCACCGGCAAGGAGATAAAAATTAGAATTTTGACAGCATGCCTCTTCCCTGTGGCTACATACGGATGTGAGTCGTGGACTATCTCTCAGTCCTTAAGAAAGAAAATAGGGGCTTTTGAGCTGAAATGCTATAGAAAGATTCTCAGAATATCTTGGATAAAAAAGATGAGAAATATTGACATCTTAAAAGATCTGAACATCAAGGAAGTTTGGCTAATAAACAGCATCCTTTCTCTAAAGCTGAAATATTTAGGTCATATCAAGCGCCACGACGGACTGGAAACAATTATAGCAGAAGGCATGGTACCAGGAAGGAGGGGCAGGGGCCGACCGACACGAAGATGGGCACAGGATATAAGTGACTCCTTAAGTGTTAAAGTGCATGAGGCGGGAGAGCTGGCGAGAGACCAAGTTTCTTTCAGGCAGACTGTGATGAGAGCGACGTTCTGCAAAGGACCTGCTACATGATGATGATGAACGGATGGAAGGTTCTCTATGCCAAAGAAACCGACCGAATGTTCTCGAAGATCAATGAACAAGTGAACGATTGAAAGAAATCCAAGTCCAACTTGTGAATCAAACGCTATAGGACTAACGAATTAAACTAGGACAGCAGCTTGAAGAAAACTTGACAAACGTATCATCTTCAACATACCACATCTGTGTGTCCAGACATATCTATTTCAACATACCACATCTGTGTGTCCAGACATATCTATTTCAACATACCACATCTGTGTGTCCAGACATATCTATTTCAACATACCACATCTGTGTGTCCAGACATATCTATTTCAACATACCACATCTGTGTGTCCAGACATTTCTATTTCAACGACGAATGTAAAACTCGTGGCATGCATAACATTGACTTGATTTGAACTTTTACTGGCATAATGTTAACGCTCTCATTGCCTCTCGCAGTTTCTCTCTAATGAACAAAATCGGTTACATTCTTCGTGTCATCAGTCCGCAGATACGGTGTCATTCGCCCATCACCAGTGATTAAGGCCACTTTTCATCCAAAGTAATAATGATCAATGATTATGAGTACGAATGTAGCAGATTAGTCCAATATGAGCCTGGAAAAGTGGGGTCTAAAGCTAAATAATTCAAAAAGCACAGCATCACTTTTCTCTCTCTCCCCCAAAAAAGAAAAAAAAATCAAAATTTGGATAAAAAATAAGCTCATTCCACAGACTGACACTCCTACCTTTCTTAGCGTTACATTTGATTCGCGACTAACTTGGAAGTCACATGTAGAAGCAGTACAGGGAAAAGCATTCAAGAAGCTTGCACTGATGAAAAAATTAGCGGGTACCACATGGGGCGCTAACTCTAGAATCCTAGAACAAGTATATACTGGAGCAGTCAGGCCAGTCATGGAATAGGCCTCCACTGCATGAGCTGCGGCAGCAAAGACAACAATGGGAAAATTGGACAAAGTTCAGAATAGGGCGGATTAATGATTGTTCTCGGAGCCATGGAAACCATCCCCATCAGAGAGATAGACAGGATAGCAGATACTGAACCACTCGAACTCAAAAGACAATACAAAACTCTTTTACAGTATGAGAAATTAAAAAGACTTGAAAGTCATTCACTGCATTTTAAATTTCAAGAGAGGGAAAAAAAAACAGACTGAAGCGTCAGAGCACCAACTACTTTGCTAGAGAACTGTACAGACATCTGCTTGAAAGAGATGTTGCACTGTACGAAAACCTAGGCCAGAACCATGGACAAGCAAGCCAGAGAAGGCAAATGTTGTCCTAACGGTACCAGGGATCACTTAAAAAGATGCCCAGACGGAGACACAACAGAGAACCCTGGCTCTTGCTATGCTTGATGAGAAGTATCCAAACACCACTTGGACTCAAGTTTTCACCGACGGCTCTGCTACAGAAGCAGTCAGAAAGGAGGGGGGGGGGGGGGGTTGTGTAATATACATTAAGCCCCCTAGCAGTAGAGCAGAAACTCTCTCTCTACCAGCAGGTGACATCTGCACTAACTTCAGAGCTGAGGCAACTGCCCTCCTTTCTGCAGTCCAACATCTCATCACTCAAGAACACAGAGGGCACAAAATTGTTATACTTAGTGACTCATTGTCTGATCTACAAGCACTATCAAGCAAAAAACAAGACAAACTAATTGCAGATCTAAGGACCAACATTGGCATACTCTCCAAGGAAGCAGAACTGGTCTTGCAGTGGATACCAGCCCACTATGGTATTCAAGGAAATGAGAGCAGATGAGTTGGCAAAAGCTGGGAGTAATCTTCCACAACCTCATCCACCACACAGCTACAAGGAAACCAAAACAGCGCTAAAGCAGTCTTTCAAGGGGGAGTGGAGAAGGCAGAATGGAGATTACAGACCAGAGAGTGATAGCATAAACAAACTCAACAGGAAAGAACAAACAACAATTTTAAGACTTCGCACTGGACACCCATAGAGTTAGTTAGTTAGTCTTTCCTCTTGTGTCGAGTGCGGCACATAGGGCAGAGGTCATGACTCCCCATGCATGGCGGTTCGTTGCAATCTGTTGTAGGTCTTGGAAGTTTGAGTGGCCCATGAGCGAGCCTTCCCTGATGATAGTTCTACGTAGGGTTTCCCTTGGTCTTCCACGAGATCTTTTCCCCTGTGGTGTCCAAATGAGGGCTTGGTAAGGAAGTCTTGGTTTATCCATTCTAAAGGCGTGGCCGACATAGTTCCAGCGGCGTTTTCGTATAAAATTAGACACATACTCTTGCCTGGATTCTTGCCTTATTTGTGTATTGGTTCGGAAATCTGACCATTTGAAATTTAGTATTCTTCTAAGGCATTTATTTTCAAAAATTGTCTAATTTTGTGTCTAGAGTTGTCGTTGATTTCCAGCTCTCGCATCCATAGGTTAGTACCGGAATCACACAAGAATTGAAGATCCT